TTCTTTTTTCTTTTTTTTTTTTGCAGAACCAGGGATTGAACTCAGGCCCTTGCGCTTGCCAGGGAAGCGCTTATTCCACTGAGCCATCTCCCCGGCCCCTTGATTTCTTGATGTCGGGCATTCTTTTTGTAGTAAGAGTCTCCATGTTGCTTTAATTTGCACTTCTTTAGTGGCCAGCAACACCAAACAAAGTTTTTCATGTATATATTGGCCATCTGTACTTCTTCTGAGAAATCTGTTCATTTTATTGCCCACTTTTGGACTGGGTCTTTTTGGAGGGCATCTATTTTTTTGAGTTCTTTACATATTCCAAGTATGAGTCCTCTGTCCAATAAATAGCTGGCAAAAATTTTTCCCCAGGGTTAGGGAGATAGCTCAACGACATCTGCCTTGGCAAGCACAAGGTCCTAAGGTTAATCCCTGATATCACACACTAATTGTTTCCCCATTCTGTAAGTTTTCTCTTTACTCTATTGGTTGGTTCCTTTGCTGTGCAGCTTTTTTAATTTGTGGATTCTTGGTATTATTTCTTGTTCAGGGGCTCTGTCCTATACCATTGCTTCCTCTATCCCCTCTCTTGCTGAGGTGCTTGATGCCAGTGTAAAGAGTTCCATAGGTCCTTGTGAATGCGTATTTACTGTACATACAGTAGGTGGGCCTAGACCTCTTGCTTGAGTGCTGCTCACCCCCATATCTTCTGGCTGTCCCCACTGAGATGGGCAGCAATGGAGCCAGTGACTGGGGTCCTGCAGTGCCTTGGGTCACTTCCCATGGCCCCACCCCCACATGGGCTGACACACCCACTATCTGCTTCAGTTCCAGGTCACATTTCTTTCACAGAGGAAAAGACAGGGAGGTGAGAGGATCTCTATGGGCTATAGGGCGACAGAAACAGTGAGAGAGGAGGGCTGGAGCCTGCAGCCACCATGCCTGCTGCCTCAGCCACTGTCCTGCCTGTCTTCTGGGGAGCTGGACTGGCTGCCAGTTTCCAGGGAGGCTTCTCACACATCCTACAGAGCACAAAGGTTGCTCTGGTGAGGCTGGCTCTGTGCCTGTGTAACTCAACAGGACAGAACCTGTCAGCAGGAGAGGTACCCTTCACATAGCCAACAAAGAGCTGGAGACAAAGGAGAGTCATTTCCTTCTGACATTTTATTGTTTATAAAACACAGGGACCTGGAGGGCAGGAACACAATCATTATGTTGACAGTAGCGAATGCAGAGGGAAAGCAAAGGCTAGCTTTAAAATCTTTAAAAATCACTGTGTGAAAATGCTGCTGCACTCTGGGCCAGCAATGACACATCAGTCATGTTTTAATTTCTAGACTGTCCCAAGATCTCTCCATTTCAAAATGCACTTCTACTCTTTAAATCACACAAGCCAACATCACTGACATTAGCCAAGAAGGTCAGATGATCCAGCCAGGCACAGGTATAAGAGAAGTGGGTCTTCCAAGCTGTGCCCAGCAGGAGCTGAACTCTAGAAAAATATCATTAATGTGGCTTCTCTTCTGCTGTGTGAGGATCGGACAACCACAAGAGAGATCCCTGGCCAGCTCTTCTAGGCAGGCATCCTGGGGTTTCTAAGTGGAAGACCTGTGAAGGTCAACACAGCTAGTCACAGCCCAGGGGACTCCCCTACAACATGGTGCCTCTGCTATTCTGGGGGGTGACATGGGGTGAGGTAGTTGCCACAGGGAGGAGAGCTGTGATGTCCCTTCTTCACTTCGGTCCCACCAGCCTCTGCCCTACAGCATCAAGATGATACAGCAGGGACCTAAAAGGACCAAGGTCTGTGTGAAGTTCCCACCAGGAAGAGACAGTTGTGGAAACCCCAGCAAATGACAGGGATGACCTTCAGAACAGAGTGGGCCTGGGTCAGGGGTCAACTGCAAGGGCTACTGTTACCCTCCTGCGAGTAACACGCTCCAAGTCATTTGTGAGTCCTGAAGGACATGGCACTTTCTTGAAGTTGCTAGAAAAAGGCAGCAAGCCAAGGACTCAGAAACTTCTACTGTGAGCCGGCCTTGCCAACTGTGGCTGCTTAGTGACAGTTTCCTCCAGCTGGGAGCAAATTTGCTTTGACTTTGCTCTGTGTGATAAGGTCTGGTGATTCTGTCTTATGAGAAGAAACTGCCACAGTAAAAATAAGTTAATAATTAAAATCTCCAACTGCTACACAGCACTCTCAGAAGGGAGGAAGGAGGTCATTGGCGAGGGAAGTGCCGCCATCTCATGTGAGGCTCTCTGGGCAGGGCAGGCAGCTGTATCCCTACAGACTACCCTAACTAAGCCTGCATCCTGTAGTGTAAACATTACGTTCCAAGGTCAACAGGGTCCACGGAATGCCCAGATGCCCCTAGAGGAGCATCAAGTGGGGTGGCTCAGGTGCTCCCGAAATACACACTGAACAAAGAACTCATGGGAAGTCAGGAAAGAGGGGGTCAAATGGAAGAGCAGCAGGGCAGAGCTCAAGGGCAGGCCCCTATCAAGACATCCACAGACAGTGATGCGTCCACCACCAGGTGGCAGTGCTGAGAGGCCTGGCAGAGCAACTCCAGGTCCAGGCCCTCACACCTCCCAAGACACTTCCAGGCCTTCCCATGCCCTGGGACTGAATCCTGTTCTGGAAATCCTTAAGCTAGGCACACACTTTGTGGTTACAAAAAGAACGAGACAAAAGTGCAGTCCTCTGGTTTGTGTAAAACCTGTCCCGATGCAGCGAAGACCGTTGATCTCAGCTGTGACCAACGTCAGAATGCCTTAATTTAAATGAATTCTATTCCTTCGTACTTCACGCTTCCAATCTTGGTCTCGGGCAACAGGAAGCGCCCATCTAGTGTGAAGGCCATGACATAGGTGGCCACCATGCCGCTGTCCTCTTCAGACTTGAGGGCCACAATGATCTGGTCGTCTGTGTTGGGGATGAACTTGAATGATGAGAAGCCATGTGTGGGGACCACCTCGCCCACGCGGCGGACAGAAATGTCCCCGAAGTCCTGGGTAGCGCTCAGAAGGAGGTTGGTGCCCTTGTGCTCATCGTCCTTCTCACTGTACCGCTCATGGCTGGCCCGGCGTGGCAGGAAGAACCAGCGCTGCAGAGTGTCGCTCCAGGAGGCTGATTCATGGATGAGGTAGCCTGGGACAAAGGACCGACCCATGGTCACTGCACACTACAGCCTGCCTGGAACTTTATCTCCAGCCCGACACCCTGCCCCCGCCATGATCAGTTATAGGGAGCAGCAGCAAGCCCCACACAGGATCCTGGGGACCATGTCACCCCTCTGGACCTCAGCTTCTCAGAGGGGTTCATTATGTGGTTGCTCTCAGCTCTGCAGGGCGAGGGGCAAGCACACAGAGTAGGAGAACACAGCAGCAAGTCTTCAGGGCCATATCCCCCACAGGCTGTCCCAGAGAGGCTCACAGCCTCCTGGGAGTGCTGTCTGTGCTATTTCCTGGTGCTAATTAAGAGGGACTGGAAAGAGAAAAGAGTTCAGGGAAGGGACAAAATAAACTGAAGTCTGATCTGTGCAAAGATGAACCAGGTTGAGGAGGCAGCCTCAAGGTTGAAGGAGGTATCTTTCCTTCCTCTCCTCTCCGCTGTTTTCCCTCCTCCAGGACTAAGCTCTTACCAGGCCACCAGGACACAAGCTACAAGGACTTCTGGGAGGTCAGGAGCCAGGTGGGTTGCCCTGTGTGGAGAGGGCCTGAGGCCATCTGTCAAGGTCAGTGCCAAGAATGGCTTACCACCCCCCCCACCGGAATCCACTGGCCTGAGGGAGTACAAGGTGACCCTGTACCTGCTGGGCAGCCACACAGCCCCCGGACTGGGGCTCAGCTGGTCTCTTACCTGGTGGTCGGATCCCCGCAGCGGCCCGCAGAGCGTTGTAGCTGGACACCCAGTTCTCATGGTCCACGCTGCCCGTGTGGCCTACCACCTTCACCCACTCAGGGTTCTCATTCACCACTTCCCCAGTGGCTGTGGTCCACTCCTTGCCCAGGCCACCCACATACAGTCGCTCATCCTTCACAGCCAACCATTCAGCTTTAAAGCCTGGGGCAACAAGAGCAGAGTATGCCTGAGAGATGCCACCATCACTGGGGCCCAAGAACCTTGGACATCAGAAGTCCCTGCCCTGGAACCTCACTGGAGGCAAGGACAAGAGGCTGGGGAAGGGCCCTGGGCAGAACCCTCCCCCACACCCCAGGTCCTGAGTCAGTACCCACCTCCCTTCTGTTTTGCCCCTCTCCCCCTGGCCTCCAAGGGCCACTCCATTTCTCTGGGAACACATGGAAGACCTTCACTGCGGCTCGCCCTCTGCCTGGCTTCCAAGGGCTGCTGGTTGGTCTCCTAAGCTCTTCTGGCCCTGATCCCTGCTCGAGCTATGACCCCAGCCACAGGACGCTTCTCCAGTGCTCCAGGGATGACAGAGGAGCTGCCCTGCAGGCTTGTCAAGGAATGTTTCTGCTGCCCGGCAGCCATACCTATTACTTCCCTGTGGGTCAATGACTAGAAGGGCTTGGCACTGGGGTACTGCCTATATTTGTGTGTTTCTTCAGGGACTGGATCTGTCCTCATGGACTTATGTAACATGGGCTTCACTTTCCAGGCAGCAGCACAGCACATGGATCACATCCTGACTTCCCAGGGTTGGACTTGTGCTTTCCCAAACACTGGGCAAGCTTCTTGGCTCCCAAGAAGCTAGGGCTGCAGTCCTTTCCCTACTGGAAGACAGCACACGTGGGGACACTTCCTCACAGGTAGCTCTGGAGAGAGCTGTTGAACTCCTGTGGCCTGGTGACCTGGCAGTCTTCTGAGCTACTTGTGTGATAAGATGCTTTATTTTGTTCTGGATGACCTGAACTCAGGCAGTCCCAGGGGCCTGGTCATCCCTTTCTTCCTGCCAGCTGGGAAGAACTGCAGCAGGGTGGTCTAAGATTCTGATGGGCACGACGCAGGATATGGGTGCCCAACGTTCTCTCACCTATGTAGAGATCTGTCCCTGCCAGAAGCCCCAGCCTTGGACAAACATGAAAGAGGTTCTTTGATTGGGATGGGATAGGAAGGGTCATCAAGGTCTTGCAACAGAGAAAGCCTGCACTGGTGGCTGGTGTTCTACAAGGAACAGCTACATGGAAGGCTCAAACAAGCACAGCACTTCTTGTCAGTCTCGGGCTGATGCCCTTCATACTCGCAGGGCACTTTCCAGTAGGAGGGCTCCGCCAGCTGTTCCCACCCTGGGGAAGCAGTAAGTCTTCTGGGCAAGCACTGGGGCTGATCACATTCTGCTTGTAGGCAGACCCCTTCTGCAGGACCAGGAGGGAGAAGCGGCAGTAGCTGACCTGTACTGCCAACACAGAGGCCGAAGTCTCAGCGCTAGCCCAGAAAATGAGACCCTACACTCAAGGTGCAGTGCCTGGTGGGCATAATCCCAGTGCCATCCCGAGACAGTGAGAAGACACAAGGGACAGGGAGGGAGGAGCAGTGCTGTGTGGGCCACAGCCCTAGAACTTACTCTGAAGGGAACTCCCCACGTGCTGGGGTCCTAGTCTGGAAATGACTTTGTGTGACACATTCTGCTCAGGCTGGGTGTGGATATTCAGGTCAGAGCAGAAGGGAGAATTCCCACCTACTAACTACTTTTCCACCGTGAGCCAAATCAAAGGGACCCTGGAGCCCCCAATACCTGGCCAAAGCTCTATAGAAAGCAACTCCACGGAAATCAGCTCCACTTACCCTTCTCCACTGTTCCATCACCGTCGGACAGAATCACCCAGGGCACGGCCTTGGTGCCTTCGATGTGGTAGACAACCCCTGTCCGGTCGTCCACAGAGTAGAGCTTCCCATTGAACACAACCAGATCCGACAGCTCCATGCCCCTCCCCTTTTCTGCCAGGTGGGACTCCAGAACACTGTGGTCTTTATCCCATTCCACAGCCACCTTGTCTCCACTGTCCGACAGAGTCAGATATCCCTTCTTCAGGTAACTGAACCAGGTGTTTTCCTCCTGGGCCCTAGACTCTGTGTCCAGGTCAGCAATGACGGCGATTCGATATCGAATCCCGCCTGATGTCCTCTGGGGGGCTGAGAGGGGGTAAGTGTCATTGTATTGGGTGGCAGGTGCCTGGTTGAGCCTCCAGTTATGTGCATTGTGGGTGGGGGGCCTGTTTGGGGCTGGGCGGTGCGAGTAGAACAGCCAGAGGAGGGCAACACCCACAAAGGACGTGAGGATCACCTTCCAGCGGGGGCGGAAGCGGGGATCTGCAGCCTTGGTCATAGACGCAAGCACAGGAAGGCCCCCCACACTTATCCGGAGAGAGTGCATAGGCTCATTCCATTCCAGGTGGTTGGAGGGCTGGACAGGCATCAGACTGAGTGTTGGGTGGGACCTGCACGCAGGGAGAGAGGAGAGCAGTCAGCAGGGCCCACTACCCCTCGGCTACCTGAACTGAACATGCTGAAGTAAGAGCTCAGATCCGTCCAGGACAAATAGTATTCCATTATTTCCATGGCTTGGTGAAATCCTGACTCCAGCAGTATCTCTGTTTACTTTTACTCAGTAAGATGTGAAGTCTTCCAAAGCAAAATTATCCCCTCTTCCGGTCCCTGCTGGCCAGACAGAAAGCTGAGTGCAAGAAAGAGGTTTTGTGTGGGCTGGTGCCTTGCGGTCAGGGGGGAGGTGGGCAGGGGCGCAGGAGACAGGAAAACGGTGTGCGCAGATCTGAACGAGACCAAGTCCTCTCCTCATCCAGCCCTCCCTGACGTCACTGGCACCACATCACACATGGGCTTGTTCATTTTTACCCCTGGCTCTCAGACCATGCCTAGCACAGGGCACTTGAAGGCTCATTAGGTGACTGAGTATTTCCTGGGTTAGGTTTCTATAATATTTAAATATTAAATAAATCTGAGCCAGACAGAAACATTTTGCAGTTGTTTTTGGCAGAACCTGTTCTCTGGTACCTTTCTACTAATGCCAACTTCTGCAGGGCCCAGGGTTCAGTGTCTCGGCCTGGCCCGAGGCATAGCTCCGGGGCTATTGTGCCAAGGGACAGGATCTGTGGCTCCTCAGCCCCACCCTGGCCACCCTGCCTGCTCTCAGGCATAGAACACGGTAGTTCAGGGCAGCCACAATGTGCCAGTGTCTGTCTCACTGCCTCACTGGGACACTGGGAAGTGGGTCCCTGCTGTGCTGTGGGGCATAGCTGGCTGCTCTTGACTCCATTCTCAGCCCTGTACTATGACCAGGACTGCACTTTCCTCCTTGCTTGTGGAAAAAAACCAAGGCACACTGGGTAAAGGGTTTGTAGAGGACTGACAAGCAACACCCGGAAGGGCTGTGGGACCCAGCACCTCCACAGTCTTGGGCTCTCATGCACTCTGGCCATAACAGCAGCAGCTCGAGTGCACAGAGGCACCCTTGCTCCAGGCTGCAGGCCCCTACAGGGCAATGCTCCTTGTGGAAGCCTCTGCCTCCCTCTCTCCCTGTGGACAGACCTAGGTTTTAGCTCACAGGGTCACCATTCAAGGAGAAAAATGTGTGTGGCCAGCTGCTCAGAGAACGTCTGGGAGAAGGATGCAAGCTCCTAAGTGCTGCAAGCATTGTGCAGGGACAGGCCTCTTGGGCACCCCTCCAGGGCAAGGCCTGGCCTCTGGCTACGGTTACAAGGCTGGTCACTGAGACCTACCTGCTGGGGGGCTGGAGGGAGCTCCCGACGCAGGTGGCTGCTCAAGTAGTTGAACCCAGCTCTGTCTCGTCATCCCTTCTCCACCCCAGCAAGGGCCTAAGACTTCCAGTGTTTCATCCTCCAGCCACTGAGCTCTGAATTCCTCTACCACCTCCTATGTGCAACGCTGCCTGCACTTCCAACGTGCACCTTCAACATGGTACTTCAAAAGATTAAGTCCCAAACCCTCTCCCTGGAGCCTACTCACATCCAGCTTGCCCTCAGGAAGCGGAAGGGGACTGCCTATGTAAAAATTCTCATGTAAATACTAGGAACTACACTTCTGTGCATCAACATTAAATGTCCACAGAATATTACTAAGCACACAAAAGAAGTAGCCTCAATCCCTTTTCTTTCCCCAACATCTACCATCAGCAGGTCCCACTCACAGGCTCCCACCCATGCCATGACCATCTCTAAACCTACCCCTACCTGTAGCCTCCCTCCAATGCTTTGGCCACTCCTTCCTGACTTGCCCCTGCCACCCAAGGGCCAGTGTCACAGCTCCCTGGCCTCCTGTGACCCAGGAACAGTCACTGTGGCCTGAAAGCCCACTCCTCTCCCCAGCTTGCTGAGCAAAGTCTCATGAGCCCCTTGTGTCCCCTGGTCCAGGACACTCTGACCCTGCTCTTTATGTCATTGGTTCATTTTTCATTCTCAGATACTCTCTCTGCTGCCCTGCATACTCAAGGGCCTTCGGTACTTGTCCTTCCTCTGTCTGGTGCTCCAGGGACAAGGCCTTGCCCTGCTGTATTCCTGGGACCCCACTCACCACAGGTAACTAGGACCAATGCACCACACGTTTGCTTGAGAAATAAAAAAAAAACATGAATCTTCACACGGGTCATTAAGTCACTTCTTCAATAGCCCCTCAACACTCCGTGCCCCTAGACCCCCACCTTAGCCATCCTGCAAATCCACAGGCCCAGACCAAGCCCCTGATGACTGAGCCACTCAGCTGCCACATCTGAGCTGCAGGTCCAGAGATGACGGTGCTGGCCAAGCAGACTGGTATCAACTGTGACACGCCAGCCTCCCAGGAGCCCTCACAATGGTGCCTACCCAGCCCCTCTGTCCCGTGAGTCTCCAGCCGGCACTGTGGGCCTTTGCTCTGCTGCTCAGGCAGGGCGCTGACTCCTCCAGCTCCTCCCCAGTGCGCAGATATCCCATCTCCCCCTCGCGTGCCACTTGCTCTGACTCCAGCTCAGGGAGGCTGCAGGGGTGCGCACAACACAACTATGGTTCAATGGAGGGCAGAGATGAATCCACGCAGGGATGAAAATCCTTCCCCAGTCCCTGACACCCTCCTCACCTCTGCCCACTGCCTCAGATGCACCCACACCCACATGCTCTCCATTCCCTCTGGCTGGTCTGCGCCTGGGTCAGTACTTTCCAAGTGTTTTCTATGCCTCTCTGCGCCCGGTCTCTCGTAGAGTCACAGAGGTCTTCTAGGTGGATTCCTGCCAGCCTTGTGCCACCCACCTCATGCTATAGTTCTCCAATGACCTTGGGCTCTCCTGGGCCTTAACATCTGTGAAAAAGACCCTGTGCCTTGGTAGCCTAAGCCTTTCTCCTGAGAGGCAAGCCAGTGCACCCCTGGGCCCAACACACATCCCACTGAGCACACAGGCACTCAGGAGCCCCACGTGCACCCCAGCAGGCCTTAGGGCCACTCAACTGTCCCTATCCAATGGCTCTGCCCAGAGCCATCTCACCTTGATGGTTCTGAAGGCGTCTGAATGGTCCAGACCTTTCCTCTGCCATTTACTAGTTACATGACCTTGAACGAACGACTTCCCTTCTCTTGGTCTCGGTTCCCTTTCTGAGGCCACCAGGTAGCCATGTCAGGGGAAGGCCTCCCCATGGCACCTGACCACTATCATTTTTACCCTTGACCAGTCATAGCCTGCAGAGAAGGCAGGCCTCACCTCCCTGGGCTCTCAGCCTGCACAATATAGGACTATCTGCAGCTGCAGAGAATCCTGATTCCATGTGTCCAGATCTCTACACATAGGGCTACCTCTGCTTGCCAACCTCTTCTGACCACACGGAACCAGAACCATGTAGAATTCCACGCTCCTACTGTCCCTGCCCTTTCTGTCCTGTATCTAGGTAAGGACCCCACCCCACCCCCCAGCAGACTGGTACTGGCTCCAAACTTCCAGGAACATGGGGAGGTGACTGCTGTAGATGTGCAGATTATGTAAATGCGACCCATATCTTAAGACAAGGAGCTGCCTAGGTGGGTCCTAAATACAGCAGGCATCTTCATGAAAGGGAGGCAGAGGGAGATTGATGTGGACAGAAGAGAAGGCCACACCAAGGAGGCAGAAGCTAGATGGATGAAGGCGCTGGGGACCTTAGAAGTTGGGAGATAGGAGCAGATTGCTCCCTAGAGCTTCCAGAGGGAGTGAGGCCCCAGGACACCTGGGTTTTGGCCCAGTGGCACTGACACTGGATGCACAAGCTCTGGGAAACTGCATTTCTGGTACCACAAGAGAATAAAAGTATGGAAAGCTGTAAGCTATTACTGGTGTCATTACTGCAGCACCTGGGGACACACAGGTGTCCCCAGTGTCCTTTGGGCTGCCTGCCCCTGCACCATACCACACCACAGTGGTCTATTCAAGTCAGACTCTGAACTCCATACTTAGCTTCTGCACGGTGTGCCTCAGTCGCTTCAACTCCCCTCCTCTCACTGGAACAGAATACCTGACCTCCTCAACTTAACAGAGAAGAGATTTATTTTAGCTCATGAAAGATTCAGTCCATAGTTGGCTAGCTCCAAAGTAGAGGAGCTTCACACTCCACGACACAGTGTGAAGGTGTAGGCTGTTCATCCCTTGCCAGCCAGGGAGCAGGGTGAAGAGAGGAGGAGCCAGACGAGAATACACCCTTTAGCTTTGTCTTTCCTGACCAGGTCCCACCTATGAAGAGCAACACAGCTATGAACTCAATGGACTGATGCCCTGAATACAGTGTTCCATGGGCCACTCACCTTCCAGAAGTTTCACCTCTGACAGTGAGACCTCTGGGGGCTATTTTAGATCTCAATCAGGACAGGTAGGACTCAGCACCTCTGCCTACTTTCTGGAAAACACAATGCCAGAGTATCTTCCTTTGGTCTCCATCGCTTCTTCAGCACGCCTGGAGTTGCTTCCCTCCCCTCAAAAAGAAAGTTCCAAATCAGCTGCCTTTTCACTCCATCCACAAGCCAGCTTGGTTTGTCACCTGAATGACTGTAGAGGAAGAACGTGCATTTCCATTTAAGCTTTCTTTTTTATTTAAGAAGATATTTTGTTTTTTTGTTCTGTTCCTTTGTCAGCCATGAGCAACAGAACAGGTGGAGAAGACAGACAAGACGGACAGGGTCAGTCCCTGAGGAAAGGGGCCACCCAAGCTTTGCTTCTCTTCCAGCAAAGCCACTTACATGTTGCTTTATTGTGTTAAGAAGTCTGTCAATCTCCCCTGAAGCATCCTGTTCTGACTTGGCAAGATCAAGATGAAGAGGACCAGGAGGCTGTAGTAAGTCACAGGCTCCCAAGCCAGCCAACAGTGCTGGGCAGGAGGCCTGCAAACAGTCCTCCAGGCAGGGAAGTCTGTGAGCCACACCCTGCCTGCTAGCTTCCTTCCTCCTGTGCCAGCCCTGCTCTGGGTAAAACATCCCCAGCAACGACAGCTACCTAAAAGCTCTTGAAGGCCCCCAAACCTAATTTCTTGGTCTTGTCCACACCAAAGGAAAAGAGAAGTTTTCTCTGCACACCCAGAAGCTGCCCTAGGCTGGTTCCCTATCCTGGGAATAAGTAGCGCCCTACCATTAAAGAGCCTCGGGCTGAGGAACACCTACCTCCACGTGCCATCCCAGGCCTGAGCAGGATCTCCAAGGCCGAGCTGAGTATGCTGTGGTGCCCACACAGCCCACAGTCAAAGCTGTCCCTCGACTCACTATGGCTTCCTCCAGGTCAGGTATGAGACACGTGGCAGATCAAATAGGTTTAAAGTAGCTGCCAGAGCAGACTCCTCCCTTTCAGGATGCAGGCAGGGCTTGAACAAGGAAGGCGCCATTTTCAGCTCTCAGCACACTCCCTTCCGCAGAGGACCTACCTCGCCCTTTGCTGTCTCACACCAGACGGTGGGCCAGCCCCAGAGCACCCACTCTGCCTACTGCCAAGGCTTACTGCCTGTTGACCAGTCAGGAGCAAAGCTTGCTAACCTCAGACTCTCCAGTGAGGGGCTTCACCGCAGCAACCAAGGTACTGCAGGATGTCAGGTCTCACAGAAAGGAACATCTGCAGATGCCTGCATGGGCCAGGCTCCTTGGAAATGGCCTCCAACTCCTTGCTTTTGCTTACCAAGCTCACTACTTACTTGAAAATTCAGGAGGAAAAAAGGAAAAAAATCATGCTTTAAGGACCACCAAGGCCGTGCAAGTCTCCTCCCTTTCGCCAGCCTGGCCACCTGACTTCTGCACACAGCCTCCCCCAGTGTCCTGCACACAACTAAGTCAACTGAAAAAGACAGTTCTGGATGACTTATTTTTCAGCCTCAACTACTCATGAGGATTGTGTTCGTTTCCACTGTTGCTGTAACTAATTAACTACAGACAGGCAGCTTATCCACCACAAACTGGCATTTCACAGGGCTGGAGGACAGAAGTCTGACGTGGGTCTCACTGGGTTATAATCAAGGGGTGGTTCCTCTCCCAGGCTCTTGGGGACAGTCCAACTGCTGGCCTTTTCCAGCTCCCAGAGGCTGTCCACTTTCCTCACCTTGTAGTTCCTTCCCCTTCAAGGCCAGCAAAGGGGCATCCCCTGGTATCTTTCTACCGTTTCTCTCACTCTTCACCTGCCTCCCTCCCACTTTTAAGAACCCCAAGACCATGATGGACCCAAGGGGAAGATGCAAGATGACCTCTCCCTTAAAAATCAATGTGAAAGTTTTAAATTTTCCTTATGTTATTGAATATAAAATTTCAAGAAGAGTCCTGTCTGCATGAAAGGGAAAAGAACCAACTGTTCTTCAGGTTTTGTTCCCAGCATCCTGGTATCATTTCTCAAACAGGAAAGAGAAATGACTTCCTTGTTATACCACTGATCCATGTCAGGACTCCAGGCAATAGTCCCAGAACCCAGCCCTTCTTTTTAAAGAGTAAATGCCACAGCATTTGTACACCTGCCTTGTACAGCTGCCATGGACTATCACGTGGCTCTTCAAGAAATTCTTACACTAATATGACAAGTGCCCTCTGCATCCTCGGAAGCCTGCAGATACACAAATACTTGCCTCCAAGGCCATACTATGGAAGAAGAGTGAAAGCCTCACAAGAGCAATGCCCACTGCTCCCCATCGTACTCCAGGCCTCTCCTCAGGATGCTTGTGCTCAGAGAGGCCTCACAGATCAGCTGTGCAGATGGACACGTAGGCAAGTTATCAAGAATCAGTAGCTCAAACCAATACACTCACTGAGTTAGTAAGGCTGCGCAAAGAAGGAGAAAAAAAAGTCTCAAATGACAAGATTTACACCTTGATTAAGAGGCATTATAGTGACACCAAATGGTCCAACTCATTTGCAAGATTGTGATTTCCCCCACCACCCTGGGCCATTACGTCATCTTTTGTGATCAGGTCAACTTGGACAAGAAAACCAGGAAGAGAATACAAGAATTTGGGGGTGGTCTTTTAGTGGTGCCTGGAAAAATCTACATTTCACCCATGTCTTTTCCCTGAGCATGCTCTGGGCTGAGCATATCCTGAGGGCGGCAGGCTGGCTCCTACAGGGATCTTTCAACAGGGCTGCTGTACTGAGAAGGGCTCTGGAGGCCAGCAAGGGAGGAGCCCATTGTGTCTACCGGCTCCCTCTAGACTGTGTGCCAAGAGGCCTGGGAATGGCAGGAAGGAGTCTGTAGCCCAGTCCTGGAGGGCACTAAGGCTCTTTGAAGGGGCTGCCAACCCAGCTGCCACAGAACAGTAGCACACAGCTTTCCTTGTTCTGCATCCTCTGAGACCAGGCACCTTTTACAAATTTTAATCAGAAAGGTCTTGTTCTCCAGTTCTCAAGCTTAGGTTCTGTTGCAAAAGTGGCAGGAAAAGATGCCAATCATTCGATCTCAAGATACGGATGAGAACTAGAACTCATGGTGTGCCAAGACTGGTTTCTCTGGGTCATTAATGGGGTACTTGGGAGAAGGTGGGTTTGCTGAAGTAGGATGCAGAAAGATCACTGGTCTCCTGGGCCAGGCCTCGGGACGGAAGACAAAGCAGGATGGAGAAGCAAACCAAGTACCAAGGATGGGCGTGGGGTTGCCAGGCCCCAGGAACAGGAAAATCCAGATTAGGTGGATAGGTGGCAGAAAGAAATGGTAAAGAGGGAGCCAAGTTCGCGGGCAAAAAGATGGTGAGTGCGTTGCGCTGCCTGTGAGGCTTAGCCTTTGAAGAGGGCAAGGAAAGCAAGGGCCGGGGCGGAAGGGGTGGAAGGTCCGTCGGTTACAGGTGTGACAAAGGGCCAGGTAGGGAGCGGAGCTGGCCTCCTCACTCAGCAGTGGGGACGCACCGCCAGGGCAGCATCTGAACCCGACGGAGGGTGCTCCCGGGAAAGGGTGTCCCGCCCGCGCAGGCTGCGAGTCAGCGGCCCAGCCTAGCAGCAAGCCCGCGGGGCCAAAGGGGGCGGGCCGCGACGACTGATGGCGCCAGGCCGTGGGCGCGCCGTCACTCACCCGCTGCGGGCCGGGCTCAGGTGCCCGCCGGCGGCCGCCTAGCTGCACAGGGCCGGACGAGGCGGGCGACCACTTCCGCCTCCTCCGCGCGCTCCCGGCGGCCTCTGCTCTGCGCCTGCGCTCCGCTCCGTCGCGCCCTCCCCGCCTCGCCCCGCCCCGCCCGCGCTCTCCCAGCAGCCCCTGCTCTGCGCCCCTCCCCTCCCGCTGTTTCTTTCTGCGCCTGCGCGCCGGCCTACTGGGAGTTGTAGTTCCGCTGCGCCGGACCTGAGAAGGCTGCTTCTGCGATGCCGAGACATTGGCCCCGCAGATGGAGGTGGGAGGCGCAAAGACCTCTAATTCCAGGCCCTCAATCTAGTGCCCCCGACCTTGTTTCGGGGAAAAGAATGGGCGGACTGGCTCTTGCATCCTCGATCCTGGAAAGCCCCTCTGCTGGGCATCCCAGCGAGCCACTCCTGGAGCCTGGCACTGTCCGCAGAGTGGAGGAGGAGCGCTGCGGGCTGCAGTGTCCTGGGCAGGGTAGGAGGGCGGGAACGCCAAAGAGGGGTCCGAGTCTGACCTCGCCTCCACCCCTTGCCCAGCTGGAGCTCTTGAGATCCCAGGTGTTGTGTTGTTCTCGGGCCCTGGCAAGCGCTTATTCTCCTGAGCTATCTCCCCGTTCGGAGCTCTTTGGGACCATTGAATAAGCATCCCTGGAAACTGGCCCGGTCCCCGAGGAAGGCCCGGAGCTAAGGGAGCGGCCCACTAGAGCAGAGGCAGGAGGATGCCTCGGCCCCTGCATGCTCACCTCCCGGATGCCGTCCCTGTGATACCAGGGGCGCAACGGAATACAGTCACATCGCGCAGTGTGAGGCAGAAAGTAACCTTACGGTTGTGGATCCCCTGCTATCCCTGCCTGTAAGCAATAGTAAGGATCGCTAACAAATGGAGCAAACAAACAAACAAACGTAATGATAAATTATCCTTAAAAATGGAAAATGAATGGAAATGGAGATTATGATATTAAGCATAGATAAGACCAAAATTAGTTACATACACATATGAATAAAATACAGATAATTGAAAAATTTAAAAGCCCTCCATGCTATGATACAGTCATAGTATTCTAGGTAGATGTTAAAAATAATATTGTTTAAAATATTGATTACTTGAAGCATGTTCACAACGTTACTGTATTAAGAGGGTATAAGTCACACTATAAAGTGAATATAGGGCCGGCCAAATAGCTCAGCGGATTAAAGCGCCTGCTTAGGTAGACGC